CAAATAAGAACACACCAAGAGTTCATAATTGACAATGCTGAAATAGTCCCATCATCATCAACGAAGAACCAGAGTTGATATCCTATCTGGCGCTCGGCGCCCAGACTACATGTGGCAGATCCTATCTAGCCTATACTATGAAGCCGAAAGATGACGTCAACAGCATTCCCGAAGGACGAGCATATGGCGACCAATGTCGCACGCTTCCAGCACCAGGTATGTCTCGCGCGACACTCACAACCTCGTTCCCCAACTCACAGATACCACTAGCACCCAAGGAGCACCCTGTGCCTCACCCAGCTTACAGCAGCGCAGCTCGGCTATGGCTGCGTGCTCTTTCCCTGCTCGCCCGTGAGAGTGTAGGCGCCAGCCAGCAAATAGCGCAGCAGCAGCGCTTGCGCAGCATGCAGCCAGCACCGAAATGAGGAATGCGGAGGCAGGCCCTTTGCTATATCGAAGTGGCCTGCCTGCGTCCAGTCCCAGGAAGCTTCCAGTAGGCCCCGGTAGCCTGAGGCCCAGCACGATGAGAGCAGGCCTTGGGCCTGTAGTGGTTGCATGTGCCCAACCGCCTTCGGCCTGTGTTTGGCCCGGTATCCGTATCCAGCCCAGGACCTGCTTCGTATACATTCACACAGGCGGCCCAGGGCCTGGGTTCACTCAACCAACTGGTGCTGCGCAACTGCCTGAATTTCCCTGAGTTGCATGGTGGCCAGAAAAGGGCCCTGAGGGCCTCGTCGAGCCTGCCTTCACTTAGGGCGGCCGACGGGCTGCGAAATGGGGCCTTAGGGGGCTCATAGAGGCACTGGCCTCGCATTCCCTCCTCCTTAGGTTCAACAGTCCTCTGAGAAGCTCAATCTTCGATCATAGGGTGCTTTCCCTTCTGCAGAGATCTCTCGTATTGGGTTACAACTTGAGGAGCGGTCTGCATGAGCTCTTCCCTGGTGAACCAGCGGTCCTCCATTGGATCAGTGTGATGCCGGAACCGAACGCGGTACTGCAGCTTCGGTTTCGGAGGACGTCCCCTGCCTGCTGGTCTTGACACTCGCAGCTCTCTGTGATCCACAATATCATCGATGTCCACCTCTCCATCCATGGTTGAGGGCAGCATTGAGCAACGAGATGGAAACTGATCAGTATCTTTGGAAGGTGCCAACTTGGAGGCGTGAAAGACACGGTAAGTACGGAGATGACCAGGGATCCGGATAACATAAGATGGCCCATCCGGATCTGTCCCAACGATATCCAAGACTTCCCAGGGTCCAAAGTACTGGGGCATGAGTTTGCGGGAGATCCCGTGCTCCTGTCCCAGTTCTGACGACTTAACCCAGACCCTATCCCCAACCTGAAATGTAGAAGGCCGACGGTGTCTATTTTCAGACTCTATCATTGCAGCGTGCACCTTCTGCATCTGTTCTACAGCCTGCTGCATCTTCTGTTCATAGCGGTAAGCAAATTCCAAGGTACCTGGTGCAGCAATGGTTTGATTCTCAGGAAGAAGAAAGTCTAGGGGCAGTCTAGGCTTGAATGTTAGCAGTAAGCTGTTTGGGCTCACCCCGGTGGCGCTGTGTACAGCGTTGTTGTAGCTGTTTGGGCTCACCCCGGTGGCCGAAGATGTGTCGCATCCCACTCTTGCTGGTGATTAGAGTATCCATGAAGTCCATGGACAGACTCTCACCAGGCCGTTCCGGAATTGGAAGGGGCTTCAGGAGCCCAAGAGGAGCCTGAGTACGGGGCTTATCGCTTTGACATACCTGACAAGTCTCCACGTACAGCTGGGCGTCTCGCATCATCGTGGGCCACCAGAACCGCTGCAGCAGATTGGCTGCGGTCTTCTTGTACCCAAAATGGCCGGTGGCATCATGGCACTCACCTAAAAACAAACTACGCAAAGACTCGCTACTTGGGACACACAATCGTTTATTCCCGTCCTTCTCAACGAACAGCAAGCCATTGACCAACTCAAACTCGGCAGAGGTCTTCTTCTCCTTTGCCTGGAGTCTGCGTATGATCTCGGACATAAACTGGTCCTCGCGATAGGCTTCCACCAAAGACTGAGTAACATGGTCCGTCAGATTAAACTCAGTAATCAGCGCACCTGAGAAATCAGGTCTACGCGACAAGGCATCCGCAACCTTGTTGTAATCCCCTTTTAGATACTGAGGGTCAAAGGCATACTGTTCAATGACTTCGATCCAACGCTTGAGGGCGTCAGAAAGTACAGGCTGAGTTCTCATCCATCTCAAGGTCTGATGATCAGTCCCGAGAATGAAGAATCTCCCAAGGAGATAGTGTCTCCAATGGGTCAGAGCCTTGTAAACCGCATAGAGTTCCTTCTCATAAGTGGACTGAGCCAACTTCTGAGACGGCATTTTCTTGGAAATGTACTCTACAGGCCTCAACTTTGGCCCCTCTTGCTGCGCAAGCACGGCGCCAATGCCATATTGGCTGGCATCCGTGGTGACTATGAACGGCTTGTCAGGATCAGGAAGTTTCAAGACCTCGTAGTGCGTCAACGCATGCTTCAGATGTCTGAAAGCAGCCTCGCACTCATCTGTCCACTCCCACGGGGTGTCAAGGCGGGTCAGATTAGTCAAAGGAGTGGCCACTATGCTATAGTTCTTAACAAAAGTCCTATAGTAGCCTGTCATTCCTAAGAAAGATCTCATCTCAGTCACAAATTGAGGACGTGGCCAATCACGAATGCTGGCCACCTTTGCATCATCGGGCTTCAACCCTTCCGTGGAGATCTCATGACCCAAGTACAAGACACGGGTGCGGCCAAACTCGCACTTCTCACCGTTGATCTTGAACTCGTGTTGTCGCAGGAGACTGAGGACCTTGTCCAGATGTGCAACATGCTCCTCGACAGTCTTACTAAAAATAAGTATGTCATCGAGGTACACAATGACAAACTTATCCAAGTAGTCATGGAATATCCGATTCATAGCGTGCTGAAAGGTGCCAGGAGCATTGCAAAGGTCGAAAGGCATTACCACAAACTCGTACAGACCGCACCTGGTTTGAAAGGTGGTTTTGTGTTGATCCTCGGGCCGGATTGCAATCTGATGGTAACCGGACTTCAGATCTATCTTACTGAAGTACCGACACCCTTGCACTCTATCTAACAGATCATCGATGCGCGGTAGGGGCTCTCTATTCTTTACAGTGATGGCATTGAGGCCCCTATAGTCAATGCACATCCTAAGAGCTGTCTCTTATACACATCTAGATGTGTATAAGAGACAGTCCTAAGAGTACCCTCCTTCTTCTTAGGTACGAATAGAACTGGAGACCCATAAGGAGAGACACTCAGCCGGATCCAACCCTTCTCTACGAGTTCCTTGAGTTGGCGGCGAAGCTCATCAAGCTCGCCTGGAGACATCCGATAGATCCTACCCTTCAGAATACTAGACCCTGGGATAATCTCTATCGCGTGGACGACCTCCCTCCCAACAACCCCTGTCGGCTCTGCAAATAGATCAGGGTACTTAGCAACTACTCCCTCTATCTTCGGTGGCGTTTTCACCGGCTCGCCTGCAGCAGAGACAAACTAAATACATACCCTCCTCATGATTTTGCTTATAATAATTGTAGAACGCAGCCGCACACATGCACCCATAGGACTCAATGAGACTACTTGCTTTAAACTTATGTAATCTGGCGGTCCCTCCACCTGGCAAAGTGTGTTTGACCACTTTTCGGACCCAGTCAAACCGAGAGGTAGTACATACCTAGTAACATATCCATTGGGAGCTCGTCACTTACTAGGAACGCGACACGTTGTCTCAAGTCCCCTCCCACGTACGGGAAACAACACTCAACATCCTGGAGGTAGTCGTTGACTACCATGCGCTGTTTGTTGGCACAGGTCAACTCCACAAGTCGACTCAGCCGCTGCACTCGCCCCTGTAAACGCAGCCTCTCAACGCACGCGCGATTGATAAAGTTCCTAGTCGAGCAAGTGTCATAATAGGCCCCGGCCTTGCGGCCGCCAATGACTACCTCACTGACGAACATCTCACCCTTCGGGGCTTTGACTAGTGCCGTCCAAGAAGCTAGCGGGTCTGGTCTAGACCACTCCACTTCTAGCTCCTCTAAGGACTCAAACACATTCATCGAACAGAGGCTGAATGGGTTTGAATGTGCTTACGGGACGATGCTGGAGTCAGTAGCTTGGGCCATTTCTCGAGATGGTGAGGGTGTCTCCACCGCCTCGACCCTAGCAGGAACAACTACTATTCCTACTGGCCCGACATGTTTCCCGGAGCACTGCTTGAAGTACTGGCAACGTTGCTACCAACGGGATGAGAGGATCCCAACACCTGCCCCATCGTAGGCGGGATCTTTTCTGCCACTTTTTTATTGCGGCACTTGAATTGGCTGTGGCCATATTGACCACAACGAATACAGGTCTGCCGTGAGTAACGATCTCTCCCCACGTCCTCTGTAAGACCCGCTTTCTCCCATGGAGGAGCATTGGTGTCAACTTGACTCCTAGACCGGGAACCTCCACGGCGTCTATCGGTCGCCTTTCCTTTTTGAGCTACGGCAGCGACCACTCCACCCTCTGAAGTTTCTACGTTGCTCGAATCTGAACCTACTCCCTCCTGAAAGTGCTCGTCGACTTCGATAGTGGAACCATCATTATCGACAAACATTAAGCGACCCTTCGCCTTCCAGTTAGGAGGCAGTGTCTTTTTCCTCCCATCCGTGGTGGGTGCCTGTCCATGCCCTATCTTCGCTTCAAGGTCTAGGGCCACCTTGCTGAACGAAGGAAAGTTGTGCATATTGATATTGGCCTCTTTTGCCAACTGGTTCCTGAGAGGCTGAGAAAAGCATCTCAAGTACGAAGTCAACAGGACCTGGGGGTCATAGCGCACCCCTGGGACACAGATCAGACGCTCAACAGCATCGGTGGCTTCCCTTACTGACTTAAACTGCCTCGTGTGCAGTGTCAGGATCGCATCAGTGGCCCTTTGAGCCTCCTGATAATTGTGCCACCTCTCCTCCACCATCTTCAGGAAGTCATCCAGTTTCTGGGTGGCTGCCCAAGCGCGGAAGTCATGACCATATCCCTGGAGCTGCACTAAACCGCTCAACCATCTTGATGCACTACCCTCTAGGTAAGATGCAGCCACAAGCACTTCTTCATGCGGCAAGGTAAGTTTACACCTGACATAGACTGGCACTGACCTCAACCATGTATCGAGGTCTTCGCCTCTCTTGTCCCCTGTGAAGGGTTTCAGCGCGGCGATGGCCGTCTTTGGAACCCACTGTTGTTGTCCCGGTCCCTGCACCACTCTGGGCTGTGGACCCGGTGATACAGGCTGCTGCGCTAGCTGCTGAGGCTGTGTGCCCTGCGGCTGCACAGACTGCGAGACAGCAGGCTGCGTGGTGACTGCAACCTGCGACGGAGTTTGGGTGTACATTGTCTGTACCGGAACCTGCAAACTACTGCCTCCTGTTACCCCTCCTGACAGCAGCATGCCCAGGGAAATGATCGCAACCGATGACGGAGCTACATATGGGGATACCCCAGTCATTGGTGGGCCAGGGACCAGGCACCAGGCCCGGACATTGGCGACGTGGTCTGCGTTCGCCCAACCATCAGGGCCAGACTTTGCTGGATGTCCTGAAGGATGGTTGTCTGATGGTCCTGCATCTCTACGACATTCAGCAGGACCGACCGTACAAGTCTTACATCTTCAGGCACATTCGTCAGATCCATTTCCTCTAACTCACTAACGTCCGCTTGTCTACGTTGCATCCTGGATCTTCTTCTGATCATCTTTTTTTTCTCCGCTTTTATCTTTCCTAAAGCATTCTGTAGCTGTGCCTCCTGGAGGACTGCCTCCTGTATGGCGATCTCCTCAGGAGTCAACAGCAATGGTTGGCTCGCCATTACGCCAATGGACTGCACCTGGGTCTGCACGACCGTTGACCCGACAAACCCTGAACTACCGGCTTGAGAAGTTTGCATTGCTGAGGTAGACATGGCTTCCGAAACTGCGGCCTCACTCACGAGTGTCCTGCTAGCCTCCGCTGCTCTAGCCCTCCTCTGCTGTTGCTGCCTTTCCCTAAGCTGGCGGAACAGATGTTTCTCGCCCTCTGGCCCTAATGCCAAATGGGCTACTGGGCGCCTTGCCGATCGCAAAATCCGGTCGTCCGGTCGCTGTTCCTCCCTATCGCTCATAACCTACAGACTTGAACACAATCTGCACTATTGCACACTGTATGCCTACCGCAGCGTAGTGCACAAACCAACAAAGTAATTGGTTGCTAGTTCGGAATAGATATCACTTGAGGTCAACAGGTAAGTCAGATTCCTACAAACAAAACTATTTTTAGTTTGACTAGTCCGCAAACTGAAGCACCAGCACCAGTTCTAACTAATGTTGTCTATCGGATGTCAATGGCTGTACACCTAACTAATCAAAACATAAAAACAGAATCATTTGTGTGGATAGGACAGCATGGAATTTTCTCGAACTTATCACCTGGAATCAACCCCTCCCTTAGTTCCCCTGAGTATCACTTGACGTCAGCGTCCCTGAGCGATCTGGAGAGCGTCGCGTGTCTAAAGGTGTGTGTCCGGCCCACCCCTGTGCCCCGAGTATCCGCTGAGCTGGCCAGCCTTACATCACGTATATTTATCCTCGGCGTGCTGCGAGCCTTACATCACTGGCTGATCCATAGGCATTTTAACGTCCGCCCCCAAGTGACATCAGGAATTATTTTACGTCGCAGCAGGACGACGATCACAACCAGTGATATCCCCTTCCCGTGTTTATTTATAGACGTTGGGTGCTCGTCTTTCCTGTAGGGCTGGCCTGCCCCGTAGTACCCATCTAACAGCGCAGTAAGCCGAACAAAGGACAAGCAGCAAGGCATGTGTGCTCTACTCCCTGTGGGTTGGCATGGTGACCGTGACCCAGTGCTTCGTCCAGGGCCCTTCAGAAAGCTCCGCCCATCTCCACCCAGATGCTCCACGTGAACATTGCCGACTCTCAAGGTTGAGCGCACTCGACACCTCACGATGAGAGGACTCTCAAGAAGGAACACACAACCTCACGGTAAGAAGTGTCGTAGAGGGAAGATAAGGTTAAGAGCAACGTACCTCATTTAGCTTCCCCCAACCACAGAGATAATCTCACCAAATGACCAGATGGCGATTGTGATGACCAGTCACTGCATCGGCACAACCAGCATTATCTCGACGTTCCACCTCAGCATCAATGGCTCATTAGATAGTTCTCATCACACTGTCCAGACCACATTCACCCCACGTAGCCTTCCTGGCGATCCCCTCACCTCCTGGGTCACCTGCTCACTCGTCTCCACCCTCCTCACTACACACCACTTACGGCCAAACTCGCCCAGCAGACCGCATGTATGTACCGCATAAGGCAGAAGACAAGCGCCAGATGAGCGCAATCGTACCACATCTCCGATACCAAATTGCAAGGAAGATGAGCAATAGCAAACTTCAGCAATCAAACAGCATCATACATACGAGTCCAGATAGTCGTGACCTCGAACCAACAGCAGAATTGCAACACGAGATTCACCAAATAAGAACACACCAAGAGTTCATAATTGACAATGCTGAAATAGTCCCATCATCATCAACGAAGAACCAGAGTTGATATCCTATCTGGCGCTCGGCGCCCAGACTACATGTGGCAGATCCTATTTAGCCTATACTATGAAGCCGAAAGATGACGTCAACAGCATTCCCGAAGTACGAGCATATGGCGACCAATGTCGCACGCTTCCAGCACCAGGTATGGCTCGCGCTACACTCACAACCTCGTTCCCCAACTCACAGATGCCACTAGCACCCAAGGACCACCCTGCGCCTCACCCAGCTTACAGCAGCGCAGCTCGGCTATGGCTGCGTGCTCTTTCCCTGCTCGCCCGTGAGAGCGTAGGCGCCAGCCAGCAAATAGCGCAGCAGCAGCGCTCGCGCAACATGCAGCCAGCTCCCGAATACCCAATGAGGAGGCAGGCCCTTTCCTATATCGTAGTGGCCTGCCTGCGTCCAGTCCCAGGAAGCTTCCAGTAGGCCCCGGTAGCCTGAGGCCCAGCACGACGAGAGCAGGCCTTGGTCCTGTAGTGGTTGCATGTGCCCAACCGCCTTCGGCCCGTGTTTGGCCTGGTATACGTATCCAGCCCAGGGCCTGCTTTGCATACATTCACACAGGCGGCCCAGGGCCTGGGTTCACTCAACCAACTGGCGCTGCGCAACTGCCTGAATTTCCCTGAGTTGCGTGGTGGCCAGAAAAGGGCCCTGAGGGCCTCGTCGAGCCTGCCTTCACTTAGGGCGGCCGACGGGCTGCGAAATGGGGCCTTAGGGAGCTCATAGAGGCACTGTCCTCGCATTCGGGTATATGCAATCCTCCGTCTTCTTGAAGCGGATATGTTCCCTGCAATCCCACTTCCGCAGGTCTAGAAGCTCCTTTTACCATTTCTGATGGGATATATGGCTCTACATTCTTTTTAGCTACTGGATTCCATGGCTTTCATGTCATCGTAGGAACCATTTTTCTTATTATCTGTTGTGTTCGTCAGTACATGGGTCATTTTACTCGAAGACACCATTTCGGGTTTGAGGTTGCACCTCTACGCCCACATCCGGTCTGGTGCTTCATGTGCCTGAGAGGTCTGCTGAAATGTGGGTGTGTCCAAGTTGTGCCAATCCTTCTATCTTAAATTGAGTCCATCTAGCCAGGCTACCTACTCTCTTGCCAACCATACCCATTTGAATTTCGTAAGTATCCGTTGTTCTGTCTCTGGATTATTCTTTGCCCACCAGGGTTACCCGCCAGAACGTTTAGCGGGGGTCTCCACCACCCCCCGAACATTCGGGTGTCCTGCTGAACGTGAGGGCGCCAAACATCCCAAAGTTCGCCCCCCGCCACATGCCTATAAAATTGCAGCGCATTTGGCTGATCCAAAAAAAAAACGAAAAATCGCCAAAGATGGTGATGGCAAAATAGGCTCGCCCACTCACTTTTTTGTTCCTTTTCCCTTTTTCCCTTTTTCCCTTTTTCTTTTCTTTTTCTTCAAAATGTGGGGAATGAGCCCTCAAGGTGCACCGAACCATGGCTCTGATACCAAATTGCAGGGAAGATGAGCAATAGCGAACTTCAGCAATCAAACAGCATCATACACATGAGACCAGATAGTTGTGACCTCGAACACAAAGCAGAATTGCATCATCATCATCAACGAAGAACCAATGTTGATATCCTATCTGGCGCTCGACGCCCAGACTACGATTGGCAGATCCTATCTAGCCTAGACTTCAATGCCGCTGATGACGTCAACAGCTTCCCAAGTATGAGCAGACCTCGGCCAGTGCCGCACGCGTCAAGCACCCAGTATGTCTCTCGTATCACTCACAACCTCGTTCCCCAACTCACAGATGCCATTTGCACCAAAGGACCACCATGCGCCCCATCCAGCATACAGCAGCGCAGCTCGGCTATGGCCGCCTGCTCCTTCCAACTCGCCCGTGAGCGCGTGAGCGTGGCAGGCGATAGCACAGCAGCGCTTGCGCACAAAGCAGCCAGTGCCCGACTGCCCGCTGTCTGAGTTGGGCCTATGGTGCGTATCTCGCCCAGGGCCTGACTTAGATACAGTCGATAAAGGAGGCCAGGGCCTGGGTGCCTTCAACCAACTGACGCTGCGCAACTGCCTGAATTTTCCCCAGTTGAGAAGTAGTCAAAAATAGGCCTCTTGTCGTCTGTCGGACATGCCTTCAGTTAGGACGGCCGACCTGTTGCAAATAGGGGCCCAGTAGGGCTTACCGAGGCCTATGCCTCGCAGATGGTTTGCTGGCTTTGTTCTTGTTGGGGGCCAGGCCCAGAGGCATTTGAAAGATTACAGATAAAAAAAAAAAAAAAAAGATTTCCAAATTCCAATGCGTTTCCATGTGGAAGCCACCACTTGGGCGAGAAACGAAATGCCAAGACCAAAGATTACCAATAAAAGAAAAGACAAAAGCAAGAAAAAGAAAGGAACGATTACCAATCAATTCCGTGTGGAAGTCTATACTTGGCCGAAAACGACAAACCAAGACGACAAACAGTATCCAATCAGTCATGGTACAGAATATGAAGTCAGCAGTGCTCATCAATACAAAAGCAGTAATCTTTCAGTGAAGAAAGGAGAGGACAATTCTTCGATGAAGAGAGAGATGGAGGACAGGATTGTGGTGATGCCGTATGCAGCCATTGGATCGGCTGGCCAGTTGTGTCAAGATACAGCAGAGAAGTCCAACGCATACGTGAAACTCTGTTCCCGTTAGGGACCCCCCATTTGACAAGGAGGCGGCATTGCAGCAAGTAAGATGTAGAGGAAGTGACATGCATTCTGTGAGAGGTGCGAGGTAACTCACTATGGACCAGAAAGTTGTCAGAAGCACACAATTCAATTTCCCTTTCTTTTAGCATTAGGATGGAAAAAGGATGGCAATCCATGATGGTCTCTCTTCATAGCGACAAGGTAAACAGACGGGAGAATACCTTTCTTGGCCTTTTGGCTAAGATCAAACGTAGTATCTGTTCTATGGTCCATCGGACCATTAAAATAAAAAAATAATATAAAAAAAAAAGGCTGAAGAAGGGTGGTATTCCCCAACAGAAAGCAAAATGAAAGGAAGATGAAATAGAAGAGCAGGGGGTAGTGGGTTAGGTCGGTTGGGGGTTGGGGGATGAGGGGAAGGGGGAACTGCTGTCAAAGATCAAAAGCATCTGGGGGGAAGGCGAAGAGGAAGCAGGAACGGAGACAAAGAAAAGCAGTGATTACAGAGGCTTACCTGATTATACGCTTGCTCGCCAATCCTGGAACAAAATTGTGACAGAGAAGACATGGCAAAACACTCCATATACCATCCATCATGAGTTACAACTGCAGACGTTGCATATCTATTGTCCTTGGCAGACTTCACAAGGACCACTCTCCTGTCATCCATTCCAACACAATGGACGAAGTACTTCAATACCCAGATTTTCTCGTACAAAGACCAGGCACAAGAAAAACTGGAATGGAAAAGGAAACAAAAACATCCATAATACCTCCATATATACAGAAGAAAAGCTATCGAAGAAAACTAGGCACCCTTAGGTGACCCCACTCCTTGAATCCACCACCAACAGACGCCCCAGAATCTTTCTCCATCGCAGACCCTGTATGCGTCAGAGTTTATTAAACATTGACAGAAAGAAGTGCCTTCGTTACCACTTGCCGTTATGGACGTTTCAGGTTCCTTCAACTTCTC